GGGTTCTGTTGGTGCTGGGAAAGAATGAAAGTTTATGGTTCAGAAGCTATTCTGAGTTTGCAGAACTGGTAACAGTAACAGTTACCCAACAGCACCACTTTTACAGAACCACATTTAGTTCCAGTTTAAGCCTTGGCATTTCAATTCTGCTGCAACAACATTTTAGTTTTCTTTCTGCTGCTCCCCATACCAGTCAAGCCTGCATTGGCAGAAGCTAATTTTGTGCAGAACTCCACTGAGTAATGCATGTGATACATAAATGCATAAGCAGTGCATATGATTTCTGAACTTAACTGGCACCTTCACAAAGATTAGTCTGAAAAAATGGCAGCTATTTCATGTCTTAGAAAGACTCAAACCCCAAAATTGCTACCCCACTTTAATTTAAGAGATTACCTCCTTAACTTCTCTCAGACAAATTAAGGTGTCAATTCGAGGCACAGGTCATGTGGAAAAGTAGAAGAGATGAAAAGAAGTCAACCCTCACAATCCCATAAGGCACTTTTCTTTCTCTAAATGGGCCAAAACTCATGCTGCCAGTTCAGCTACAGCAGGTCACATAATAGTGTCTTACTGAGACAACTCATGTGATTCATTATGGCTAATCAAACCCTAAGTACTTAAGCAAATTCTGAACCCAGAAGAGAATATGTTGAGCCTGCGAACAGAGACTGTTAAGCAGTGGTTAATATTTAAACAACCTGCTTGTAACTGAAACAAAAAGTATGGGGTTTTTGCTGATGAGGCTGGACAAGTTTCTCAGCATGCCCTCCTTCTATTTTTATAAGTTTCATTGACATGGCCTCAGCTGCTCAGTGCCCTAGACTTGCCATAGGTTGCTGGCAGTAAGTACTTTACCTCAGTGTTGTTCACTGGAAAAGAGGAGATGATTGCAGCTCTTCTGCCACTCCCCCTTACACTCCCCTTGGTACACCCCCATGAAGTCTCAAATGGCAAACCTGCTTTAGGCAGCTGAGGATCAAGTCCTGCTAGAACGTTTTTCCTATTGGGCAAAAGCARTAATTCATTTTTGACTCTACACAGCCAAGATCTCTAAAGAAAATAAATCCCCAACTGTTACAAATTGTCATCCAGTGTTCATGTAAATATTCTTTTAAATCTTCATAGTTATTCCCCCTTCAAATGGGTAATTAATTACTTACAGAGATACACTACTTTTCTGTGATTTATTTAAATACCCTTTTGTTGTTACTCAGTCTAATAAAGTACAGTGGGTTTTATTTATTAACATAGATTAAAAATACTTCTTGTGTTTTTTTTTTCTTTGCTAACTTTTTTTCCCCTCTGTGTTTGTATTTTAAAAGTTTAAATGACAATCTGTTCTGCATAATGTAAGTCCTTTGTTAGTTAATCCTTTGGCTAAATGTATTCCAGGCAGCCAAAACATGAAGCTTGTGTTTTGCTCCATAATTCTGTCATGGCTATAGCAGCATTTACTTGCTTTCAAGGAAGAATGCCTTCATTTTTATGGCATTTACATTCCTCAAAGAGCCACTGGCTATCAATAACATTGCCATGAGCTAGGTGGTGAAGAGGGAGGAGGTTAGGGCTTTGCCTCCTTCCCCCAGATCACCAGCCAGCATAGCTCACACCTACATGTTTAAACTTCTAGACATTAAGTTTCCTCCTGTCAATAGGTGACACGAGACAATAAATACTCACAACAGAAACAATTAAATAGAAAAACCCAATGGAAAACAGGAAGGTGGAAAGAATATAGTAACAGAGGAAAATACTAGCATTTTTGAAATGAGAACACAGTCTTATGTTTCAATTGCTTCACTCAAGAGCAGATGAAGAGTAAGGAGAAAGAAAGAGGATGAGTAATATTTTACCTTCATTTTGTACACATGATAAAAAGTTCCTTGCATTTATCAGCTACAGAATGTGGTGGAGAATGGTCATTTCATATTCATGAAATAACAGCACATACARTACAGCAAGAATATGCTGGGTAACTGGAAATTTCACAAAACTAATTTTGTATCACAGATTTGCTGAGACTAATTTATTTGGCTATGCTTAATTATTTAAGCACAGCCTTTGCTRTGCTGACTTCTGACAAGTAATGTAGTATATAGAGCACTTAGTAGGACATTTGTGTTTACAAATCCAGTTACTCAAAAATTACCCTTTAGTAGTATTCAGAAGATTTTATGTATCACATRCATAGTTTCTTGATAGGGATTAGAACATTTAGTCAGAATTGTTGTTCTGCACACATGACAAGGGCAAGGGCAAATAACTTTCTGATTGCCAATGTTTTTTTTGAATAGGGTGCCCTTAGTCACATGATTTCTCCAAATAACTGATCTGTATTGGGAAAAAAATCTTCACTGTATTGCTTACTTTACTGATGTAGCTATTTCTTAGTAGGCTGATGACATTGTACCTGAAACGTTCAGAAAAGAAAAGACGATAAATTCTAATGAGAATTTAAATGTAACAGTAGTCTAGCTGCATGGGAACACAACATGACTGTTCAACAGAATGGCCCATGATTATTTTTCTGCAAATAAATAGAGAACAGTTTAATTTATAGCTATAAATTAAGGAAGTGCTAGATCACTAAATAGTCACYCCCAAATACATTTCTGCTCTTCTTGAGTTCTCAAATTGGCCCTCTGCATGGTCATAGAAGCAAGAGACAGAATGAGAGCTCAATCAGAGTTATAGATGTCTGACTTCTTTCAGATTTACAGTTCTGAAAGTGTTTCCCTGTAGAAGGAGAAAGGCAAAACTAGAAGGTCAAAGATGGAATTTTAGTTACTTTTGAAAGGAAATATACAAGGTCCTGGTCTCAATAGGGATAGCAGAGGTACTCTTGAGTATTTCCATGCAGAGTCCAGGCAGTGTCCAACAGCACGGTGATGGCAGCAGGGATGTCATTCACCTGAACTAATTCTTGCCTATTTCCTGTAGTCATGGAAATGTGGACCTCATGGCTGACTCCAAACATACCCAGAAAGTCTTGGTTATTAAGAAACAATTCTTGGGCATGTTTGCTACCAGCACTGAACCTCGTGACTAGTTTGTGATCTCACTGGTTTAAAGCAGAACTGAATGTATATGAGCTGCAGCTGCACATTTGACTGTAGGATAAAATCACAGAATAGTTAAGCCTGGATCAATGCATTCCCTGSGAGGCTGCAAAACCAAAAATTGGAACAACTGCTATTTGCTTTAATTATATGGTACATTAGTACATACCTAACATTTGAATCAGAACTGAGACATTTACAAGCTGCTAGCGATAAATTGAAGACTGACAACTTGAATTTGACACCCACAAAATGGGAACTGCTCCAAAAAGAGTCACTTTACTATGGCTGCACAGTCATCAGGAAAGGACTTACTACTGAAGAGAAGGAATGCTATGGCTGTATAGGACTATCAGAACACCCAGAAACATGTTTGCTGCTGCTTGTGACATTCTGTTCTTTTTTATGAAACTAGTTATGGATTGGCAACATTTCAAAGCCGCCACAATGACTAAGAGAGCAGGGACAGACATTTCAGTTGTTAATGGAACAACACAGTATAATTAGAGCCGATATAATACTCCATTAATACTGAATATAAATATTTAATTTCACACTTTACAGGCAGTGTTGACAGAGACAGGTACATACTGCTTCAGGTGGAGTCTTCACAGAAGAGAAGTTTTTCTTTYATAAATTTTTTCTTTAATATTATGTCTGAAGCCTACACTAATAATTTTTTTAGCAGTAGAGGCTATTATATTTTAGATAGAAAACTCCTTGCTCAAAGAACAAATGACATTTAAATTAAAAAAAAAAAACAAAAAAAACAAAAACAAACAAAAAAAAAACAAACAAAAAAAAAACCAGAAGGGCATAAATTCAATGTCTAAGTCCTCAAACAAAACAAACAAAAAAAGCCCACCAAATCTAGGATTGCTGAAAATGCTCCAGACTTTCATGGGCTTTTGTCTGTATCCCAGACAGAATATGGCATTTTTAAGTTCAGGAGATTATATAGCTATGGAATGGGTAGAAGCAMTGTAGGTTGGTATGAACTCCCTATGGGAATGTGTTAGCTTAATTTTTTGAAAAATGTAAGTTCAGTAACTAGCTTGAACTGAGGATAGTTGGTGATGATATGTAATCACTGGTTTTTAGTAAGTATTATCATGAGGAGACTTGAAGGCCTCAAAGCACTTTACATAAGCATTTACCTCAGCAGTGAAGTGTTACAGGTGATCTGCTGGTAGCGCAAGGTTTGGGTATCATGAAAGAATTTGTTATTAGTTCTGGTGTCCATGGAACAACCCCTGTTTCCTGAAAGCCTACAGGATTGTGTGGGGGTATATGCATATCTAATGTATGTATTTACATACATATGTACACACACACCATATATGGTGAGAGAATGTAATAGAAAAGAGAGGAGCGGATCCGCAGCCTGGGAGGCGGCAGCAGCTCCTCCCGCCTCCCAGCGCAAACCTCGGGCAGGCACCCACCGCCSGCAGGCTCCCCCGTGTGAAGCTGCGGGGAGAATGGTTTCTGCGGGCGGATCATCCACGAACCCCCTGCCCGGGCTGTTCGAGTGCAGAACATCAAAGCRCTGGGGGCAAAGAGATGTTAGAGAACCCCCTGGTTGCTGGGAGCGAGAAGCGGGAGTACCACCTAGGTGGTCGCTCCTGCGGAGCTGCAAGGGGTGTGTGACGGCGGGGCTGCKGGGGTGTCTGTCCAGGCTCTGAGACCCCGGGGCCGGGGCTGCCCGGCCTCTCTTCCCGGGGAACACGACAGGGAACGCGCTCCGATCCCTTCGAGAGGACCCCATCCCCGCTGCGCCCCCGCGCCGCTCAGCTGAGCGGAGTGCCCTGCTCCTGAAGGGAGGAGGAGAGTGAAGATGGAAATGGAGATGGGCGGGGTGGGGTTAGCTTGTCGGCCCGCACATGGGGGGCGGGGGGCATGGGGCTCCCTGAGGGAAGCGGCGCCCCGGCTGTGGCTGCCGGGAGAGCCGCGCCGCTGCCAGSGCGCCTCCGCACCGCCGCAGGGAGCCGTGCCCGGGCCCAGTAAGTTCGCTCCTGTCCCACAYTGCCCTTCCTCGGGACCGGGTGGGCGAGGGGTTATTTCTAGAGCCGGCTTGCGCGGGGAGAGAAATCAAGGACCTTGGCTGCTTTTTAAAGTCCTCGGTCGGAAAAGCGGGGCTGGTGTTCCCCTGCTGGCCSTGGTGGCCGCCTGCTGCAGCGGGAGCGCGGGGGTGGATGTGGCACGGTGGGTGTCGGGCACAGGGGGAAAGRCACCTGAGGGTGGCACGGTGAGACCTTGTTTGCTGCTCCTGGGGTARCATTTGCTGCTACTGTAAAGGTTTGGAGGCGTCGATGGGTGAAACGCCCCTCCTTGGGTTTCTGACAAGCTCGCTGAAGGCGGGGGCTTTGCCTGCAGGTGCTGTCCGTGCAGGTGCTGCCCGCACAGGGGTTTACTCACTCAAAGCACACAGTCGCAGTGCAACCCCAGCTCTTCGGTGCGTTTTGAGAAGCTGGGGAAATCACATTTCAGTGGAGAGCCTGAAGTGGGTCCCTAAACGTTGCTAAATCAAGTTTAGGAAATATAAGATTGTTCTCTTCTGCCAACTTTGCATATTTAAATGTAGAAATGTGTTTGAAGTATATGTCACTCAACATGTACGCTACTTACAGCTGGAGAAACTAGTCCAGTAAAATTAGTTTACAATTTATCAGAAGCAGCAGAACATAATCCTTCTGTTTAAAATATTTGGTATCAGTTGAGATTTGTGATACCATTTGGGCAGTAGAGCGTTATGTTAGTTTTGTGGAAGCACGTGCAGTTTCCGCTGATTTTTATGTTGGTGCTTAACCCATCATTCCAGCAGCTTACCTGTGAAAGGAATAGAAGTTTCCTGGAGTTTGGCCTAAGGTGTGAAAGGACTTTCTTCAAGTCTACCCTCTGCAGCAAGTATGTTAATACCCAACATTATTTTAGAAGCTTCCAAACTTTTTTTTTCTTTATATTCTTCCTCTTTAAAGSAAAACAAATATATTTTGAGACATTCAGATGTTTCAGAGATGGAGGATGTAAGACAAGGGATGGTGGTATATAACACTTATATATGTTGAAACAAGCTGATGGTTGTTTATGCTAGAAAGACAAAACATGTTCCATAAAAAGTTCTTGTAGACACTGTGCAGACTCAGTACACAGTGGGTCTTGGATTAGAATTTGGATTACACACTATGGAAAATGTTTTGAGTTCTGGTTTGTGTTACCTAATGGCATTAAAACATTGATAGCAAAAATAGACATCAGGCCTATACAAAAACTAAGTTTGTTTTCATTGCCATCTGTAATGTGCTACACACTCAGACAGAAAAAGACATGGTGCCTGCCTGCCCTGCTCCTGTAAGCAATCTCCATTGCTGCCATTGATTCCATTTGACTCTGCCCCTGTCCACACAATTATTCTAAACCTCACTGAGTTCTGATACAACTTAGCACAGAAATAAAACCATCCACAGAGGCATAAGAGGCCATGTTGGCATCTTACAAAAAGTGCAGTGATGTTTTGTATGAATGGCATGCATTTTTACTCTTCTGCCACATGTTGGGATGAAGATTATTCACACATGGAATGATCTTCTGTCTGAGTGATGTTACTAAAATGCAACTTTGATTCTTCAGATGAGGAGCAAAACTGGCACTTTGTGAAGTTTTAATGCAGTGAAGTTTTGATCCTGGTAAGTCCACTGACAGGGCTGTTGAAAGTGAACAGTTGAACTTTTGGAAAAGGACAAATGTGTCCTCCTCTCTGCTGGGAAAAGCATTTGTGTAAGTGATCTACCACTACAACTCCAGTGAGAGTTATAAAGGGTACTAGTAAAAGTGGCTTCCGGGACTTCTAAATTTAGTCATTGCTGACAATCATCTGAGATCCATGGTGTTATCTTGCCAGATCTCAAAATTGTAATTTATCTGAGTGGACATATTCTAAGGGGGAGATCATTTAGAAATGTGCTGAATGTCATTATCTTCACTATTGAGTTCCTGCTTAGGATTGCATATGTGTGGAATGAGAGATTTCTGAATGGATATAGGATACTGGAAATGTATTGCATGTGATTGACCACAGGATATGCTCAGGACATCTTTTTCTACACACTACTGGAGAAGAAATTACCTTGAATAAAGCATTCTGGTTGCAAGATGATTATTGAGGTCTCTTAATGCCAATATATGGTCTACAGCAATTACATACATTAATATATCTCTTTCTCACTTGAAATATTAATATATCTCTTTCTCACTCTTCTGGTGTTGAGCCTGTGTTTATTGAGTGTAACTAGTGGAGAAGTGCTACTGGAATAGCACACATAGACAATTGTCATATCTATCCTTCCTTTACTGTGGCTGTAAAGAGTCTGTCCTAGACTACATATTCTCTCATGGATATGTGTGATGGTTGTGGATATATGTCAGCAGTCCCACAATGTCTGTTATGAAGAATTAAGCAACAAACTGGAGTAGAATATTTTATGATTAAACTTAATAACATAGGTCCTCACAARTAGGGTATATCTTCATTCACATATCATAAAGTTAATAGAATCCAAAGACAGATGGAGCCTCTCAAAATGTTGCCTAGACAGCAATRAACTTTTGAATAGGGTGGAATAGTAACACCACAGCTTTGATGACAGCTATCTACTCTAGTTTGGGTTATGGCTTCTAGGAACGTTATCTAAAACTAACTTACATAATAATCCATGCCGTAGGATGAGTTCCACATCACTCAGTTTGGAAGGGTATAGTCTCTCATTAGTGTCTGAATGGCTGCAYGTGTCTGACAAGTAGAAATAAACCAGCCACACAGGAAAAAAATTGGGGAAACAATCACATATAAACCATCACATTATCATCATGCTTGTTCACTGGCTCTGGTTCTTCCATTTCACTTTTGCAATTACCTTTTCCTACCACACCCAGTAGTTAATGTAGGTGACCCATAAAGGGTTCCATGCAGCTGYAAGAGAAAGGTGGGGTTTGGTGCTCTCAGCTCCCTGTGAATGTTTCCTTTCTCATCAGAAATGCAGCGGAGTGCACACATCTGCTSTGTCTGATAAGTAATCAAAACAGGCAGTGCAGGGTAATTGCAGGGTAATTTTGCCTCTTTGTGATGGTAGCATCAGTTTTCAGAGTTTTCCTGCATAGATGTTCTCACTAAATGACTTTATTTCTGAAAAATTACTTTTTCAGATGTACCACCAGAAAAGGATGATTACGTTAATCCAATTTACTGGTTACTGGATTTTTTGTGAATATATCTGTTGTAGCAAGAAAACAAAACATAGAAAGGTGTCAACTGACAAAATGCAAATAAATAAACTTTCTTCTGCAGGGAACTTAACTAGGAAACATTTGTCACTTGAGATTGGGCTGRAGGGAAAGACAAACCATTCCAAGTAATTTTGCCAGGTTTTTCTTCCATCATCTGTATTTAATATACAAATTCACTTCACCTGTGTTTTTGCTTTCCAGATTTTTTTTGAGAAATGTATGGAATAAATTTATTTCTGCTTTAAAGAACGTTATGCTTTAGGTGACGTTCTTAGGGTGAGAGAGTTGGATCCAGTGCAATCTAATCTTCATTTCCTTTACTACAAAAACAGTGAATGATGTGGATAAGYTGTTCCATAGCTCTGTGAATTCATGTAGCTGATCTCTGCTCCTTGCCCATTTTGTTTGAGGTWAGTGAATTCCTTGCCTGGAGTTGGATTGCAAGCTGCTTGACAACATGGAAAGCAATTGTGCTTATTTTATTTTGTTTGTGCARTACCATGTGCAGTGTGGTTATGGACTAAATAATAATTGAAATGGAATTTGGAAGGGATTATTATTTTCCTTTTTTCAGTTTACTTAGACTGAGAAAGATCTCCATATTATTTAAGGMAATTGTAGTATTTGGATACCATTAAAATACCTGATTACTCCCATGAGGACCTAAATAAATTCCTCTAAATACACTGTTTATGAATGATTTGGTGTAATAGTGATTTTATTTTGCCATTGAATGTTTTTGGACTATCACACAGTTGAGAGAAAACAATGGGATGTGACTTGCCATTAAATACTTTCAGCACTGTGAATTAGATGATAATCTTGCAGATCTATAGAATTAGCATGCATGTGTGGTTCTTTTCAAAGGTACAGTGCTTCAGTATGCTTTTCGGAAGCAGAAATTTAGATGACTAGGCAGTATATTTGATCCTTGTAATGACAGTCTAAGGTCTAAAGTAGTGGTAAGTATTTGAGTGCAATCAGTTGGATTTAGTGGCTCTGTCCTTGTGGCAAGGATTTGAAGAGAGGGAAAACTTTCAAGGGTAGTACTGAAGAAGTGTCATGAAACATCAGGTTAGTTATGTGCAATAATATATACATAGTAATTTATATGCTCTGTGGTGGCTGTTGGTGGCTGTTGTTTGTCAGCAATATGTTTTCAGAAAATCTCGATGCCTTACCTCTATGCACTGCTCACCAACCTGTGCCCACCCTCTTTCTTTACAAAGACTCCAAGAGGGGTCCGGGCACTTTCTGACAAGGAGAGGCTCTTCTACAAGCATAGRGCAAAGAGGGAAGCCCTGAGCTGGATGGAGATTTCCTTCGGGCCTGTTTGTAGAAGGTCTACATCTATGAGTTTGTTTTGGTTTTTTTAAAATACTTTTCAATAAGGCATGAGTATGCACTACGTAAATTGCTATGCTGACAAATTAGTAAGAGAAAAAATRCAATTATCTCAAACTAGACCAGTAAAAAGATTCTATATTAAAAACTCACACATATGAATTACCAAGAAGTACATGGTGTTTGGTTAGAAATACTATGAAATTTGAAGTTATAGTATTCACTGTCAGATGGAGAAGTCCAGAGAAATAGAATTCAGTGTTTCATAAAACATCATCTAGGGGGTGACTTGCTATTGTATCTAATAGGCCTGCTTTGAAGTTTTCACTTTTTTAAGGTAGCCTATGTATCTACCCTTGCCATCTTTGRCATCTTATCCTTCCTGTTAGTTTTTTGTTCAGTGTCCCAAATCCAAATTGGCCTGAATAGTTACTATGAAAAAAAGATTAARTATCGCCCAAGGAAGCCTCAAAGGTGAGTTGCTGTTCCTTATATTCTCAGTGCTGTTTTTGTTGTTTCCCAGYTTCTTTCTCAGTGCAGAAGAGACTRCCATACTTCATGTTTACATCAGTTTGTATAGAATAACTTYATAGTTTTCTGCTCAGAGAAATACGTGGTTGGTGCAATACAACATCTAGGAAAATAATGAGAGAGATCATTGTATTTGAATCATCTCAGGGAGTGTATGGAGGTGGAGCAGTGACAAACTTGTGTTATGCCACTTACGTGAGGAAAAAATATTATGTGGGGTTGTCTGCGGTAGTTTGTAGCTGAAGATGAGATGCTTCATAGAGAGGCAATTATGATTCATGTGGTGTTTGCTCCTGAYAGTTTGACCGGGTTTGTTTAAAATGTGGTAGATCCAGATCACCTGAGGCCTTTAGGTTTTCAGTCACATTTTGCATGAATTCTTGTGCTGCATAGAACTTAGGTTATGAACCATATCAGGTCTGTGTTGTTCTCTGACTTGCAGGAAAATTAAACATATTATAAGTAAAACTTTCTGTGCTGGCTTGCTTACATATTTTCAGAACACCAGGAAGAAGACCTTAATTTGTGGTCTTTGCTTTTATTCTTGCAGACCCGCTATCAGAAATTTCCTTGACAATAAAATTAATAGGTTAGAATAATCCCACAGTGGACACCAAAATTATTTAAATACATAATTTGGACACCAAAATTATTTAAATATGTACTTCTGCAGGAATTACTTCCTCATAAGTATGTTTTATATGGAAAGAGTTTGGACTTCACAATTGATGTGGTCTGTTTCTTTCTTT